TTGGAGATGTGTAATATAACTGGATATCATCAGCATAGTGATGACACTACATGTTGTCAGCAAATGACTTCACCCAGTGGTTTCATTTAAATGTTAAAGGGACAGGACACAGATCTGAACCCTGAGCAATCCTGCATTTCAGGGTCATAGGGCTCGACTTCTCCCCTCTTATCAATATTGACTAGCTGCAGAGAAAAGAGGAAAATGACTGCAAACTGTACCTCCCCCCAAATTGTCAAAGCTGTCTCAGAAGGATATCAAAGATCTAAGAGAACAAGAACAGTTGCATCTTTCACCACCACCACCACTTGACACTTGTGTCAAGTCCTCCAGAGGTTATCTGCAAACTAATGCAATCTTGGCAGGAGCTTGGCCTGAAAAGGGTCCAACTGCAGGGCTCTCTGTAGCTTAAGTTCCAGCAACCTCTCAGCAACTTCCCTAAAATGGGGAAGACTGGGAGATTGTTGGGTCCAAGGATAGCTTCTTAAGAAGGGGGCATAATAGCCTAAGACCTTCCATTTTATTACTTCTATGGCCCATAAATTCTTCTTGTGGTCATAGAAGCAATTTGTGCTAAGAGATAGGAGAAGACCTAGCAAAAACCTGGGAGCAGAGTCAAAAGAAGAATCAGCTTAGAGTCTCTACATAGCCACAAACGGATGAAGTCCAACTCCTCTTGAATTCTGTTAACACCTATTCCAGTGGTTCTCAACCTTTTTAATGCTGCGACCCCCAACCGGTCATAAGTCGAGGATTTTCCCTGCCCGGGAGCGTCACGCATGCATGGTGCCGGCCCCTGCGCCAGCTGAGGCGTAGCTGACAAGCGGCAGAGACGGCGCAGGCAGACCACCGGCTGGGCCACCAGTTGGCCCAGCCCAAGGGAGGTAAGGCACCCGCTGGGTCCCACGCGCACCAGAAACCCTCCCTGCACCCGCCAGCCTCCCACCTCCCACCCCTAGCCCTCTTTTACTTACATTTTTAGTAGTTGCTCAGCAGGGAGGGGTGGAAACTTCCAGACAGCTCGCCTTCGCTGCAGACAACTTGCAGCACCATTTTCAGAATGGGACTTTTGGCGGGCTCAGCAGGGCAGAGACAGCCTGGACAATTCCTATTGGCTTTTGAAAGCCAATAGAATTAGACTCTATTCAAGAGAGTCTATGCTATTGGCTTTCAAAAGCCAATAGAATAAAAGGGAGTAGCACAGCTAAGGAAAAGGGGGGAAAAATGGCGGACTGCGTTGTTTGGCGACCCCCATGAAATGGTCATTTGACCCCAAATGGGGTCCTGACCCACAGGTTGAGAACCACTGCCCTATTCAGTGCCAAAATGGTTCTAATGGTTAATTGAGTAGATTCCTGTGCATAGGCACGAATAGTAATGAAGCAGTTTAATTGGAACTTCATGTGTAGTTCTGATTTTTATGACTGATATAAGTTCTACTTAAAATTAACTTAAAGGAAATGGGAAGTTAGTAAATGTAGGTTTGTTTATGATTTTTATAATATATTTATATTTATTTTGAAAACAACCTAAAAGTCAAGTTTGATACAGGAAATAAGATCTACTATATACTGTCTTCCTCCTTTAAAGGAGTTATGTAACAAGTTCCATTGCCAGACTGCTTTATGTTGATCTAGGACAGTGGTTCTCAACCTTTTTAATGCCGCGACCCCCAACTGGTCGTAAGTCGAGGACTACTCAACCGGTCGTAAGTCGAGGACTACTCAACTGGTGCAGCACCATTTGCAGAATGGGACTTTTGGCAGGCTCAGCAGGGCAGAGATAGCCTGGACAATTCCTATTGGCTTTTGAAAGCCAATAGAATTAGACTTTATTCAAGAGAGTCTATTCTATTGGCTTTCAAAAGCCAATAGAATAAAAGGGAGTAGCACAGCTAAGGAAAAGGGGGAAAAATGACGGACTGCGTTGTTTGGCGACCCCCGTGAAATGGTCGTTCGACCCCAAATGGGGTCCTGACCCACATGTTGAGAACCACTGATCTAGGAAGGCAGTCAGGTTTTGGGTCCTGGATTTTTGGCCATTAAAAAAACCATAACTTGTGAACTTGTGGCAAGTCATATATTAAGATAAAACCTGATATATACAATAAATTTCAAGCACCTGGCTGCATCCCATTTACTCTTGCTTCCCTCTTTGCTCCACATAAGTGCAACAACTAACTGCAATTTATCAGCATTTTCTGGTCTAGGTAGAATGGAAAGTTATGATTAATGCTTTCTAAAAAAGGATATGAAGCCATGGTTTAACTTCTGTTTCTGAATCCTAATTAAATTGGAAACAATTGCCCATATTTCACAGGTTTTGAGTTCTTGGGATTTTAATTTGAGGCACACAGATCAGCACCACTTTTGTATTTTTTTTCCTTTTCCTTTAGCAAATTCTATCCTGATTGCTACTTAAAGGCAAGTAAGAAATAGTTACTCTAGCTGGCATTCTTTCTCTCTCTTGAACTCCATTTGTTCTTCCGTTTCTGGCAGAATGTGGGCCATTTTTCTTCAGCCTAGATAGAAACATTTTCCGAAAGATTCTTTTCTTTAATACTCTTTTCTGGATTTTACCCTGCCTCTACCTCAGAACAAATCTTTAATAACCAAATTCTGTGTCCGTGTTTGGTTTGCTAACATTGTACTGCCATCTTTATTCCTTTCTTTTTTTTTAAGGCTCCTTCCTCTGTTACACTTAGCAGCGGTCTTTTCCCAGTGAAAAATATGCTGTCTAGTAAGAAGAATAGTGTCCTATAAAAGCTACAGAGGACATGTCTATTTGTGTATATGTGACAGAATGTTGGAGAGCTATGGGTGACTGGAGATTGTCACATTATAGTGCATTGTCGGCTACAATTTATAGTCTGCATAGTTTGTTCAGCCTGAGCATAGAAAGAATGTGTTAAAGGCCTGCATATTACTGCATGAAACACACATGTCCTGGTTTATTAAACCAGGTTGAGGCATTAAAACTGGAGATTAATGCTTATACAGGTAGTCCTCGGCTTATGACAATCCATTCAGTTACTGTTCAAAGTTCTGACAGCAGTAAACAAATGATACTTCGTAGTTCTGGCCATCACAATATTCCTGGGGTCTCATGATCACAATTTCTGATGTTCTTTACTGGCTTCTGATAAGCAAAGTCAATGGGGAAAGCAGCAGGTATGAGTTTGAAGTCATAATCACATACGAGATTCTCTGTTAACCTCCTTTGTGGTCCTTGTTTAAAAATGGCAACTGAGATTGCCACAATTGCCTTTGCCAGGTGACTTGGTCACATAACATCATGCCTTATGACCATGTCAGTTAGCAATAACAATTCTGATCCCAATTACCATTATAAGACAAAGACTAGGACTACATGTAGCTAGATATATTGTAACACATAAAGATGGTACAGTGTAAGAAAAGAGGAAAAATAAAAACATGAAACAAAAAAGTAATAAAAGATACCAAATTTCCTTGGAATACAGTACATGGAATGATAGGATAGTTTAATGTAGGTTTGCCAACATTCAATCAATCTTTATTCGATCATAGACCATCAGAGATTTATAGACAAATCCTGTAATGTTTTGCAACATCCTTGATTTGATTTAATGTTATATGGAGCACAATGTTAGAAACTGCAGTATTTGTTCTTAAAGGTAAAATGATGAGATGGTCCTTGCTCATCATTTTCTTGTTGCTCATCATTTTCTTGGGTGTCCCCTATGTTCTTGAAGTCTGCTTTTGAAAAATTGAGACAGTTTTTTAGGAGTTGCAGAGGAAAAGATTCGCAAGAAAAAATTGAATTGCTCTTCTTCCTCCAACATACACTGTAATTTAAAGAGGAACAGAAATTTAGACAACAGTGCATTTTTTCTAATATTAAAAAATGAAATGGAATGCACAGTTTGGAATTAAAAAGTAAAATATAATTGTTCTAACAGTTCTTAGAATTGTTTTAAAATACTGTTACATATAGCAAGAGAAGAAATTACACAAATGTTTGTTATTTAAAGGTGATGAACAGTTTAAAAATATGCTACTAGAGAAATCATTTTTATTGTTTATCTCTGTTTAACTATAGTATCAAAATCAGTTGGGGCCTAATGTAGGTGTACCATATATGGGTTGCAAAGATATGGATGATCACAAGAGGTTATCAAAAAGTTAATGCTTTTTATATCACTTTACCACTATCTAATGACATACTGGATTTTTCAAGCTGAGATATATGCCTATCTTAATAAATATGATAGGCATATTATATTTGAGAAAAAATTGTTTGTGCTGCTGGAGTATTATAAATGGAAATTGGAGATCATGAAAGAAGGAAATAATTTCTCAAATTGTTTTCAGTATTATGGTCCAATATGTACAGGCAGACGAGCAGAGGTTTTTTTGGATAAATGCTCTTAGAATTGTTACTAAATACAGAGAATGTAAGACCCAAAGGTTCTTTTTCATGAGGCAATTGGATGTTTCGCTTCTCATCTAAGAAGCTTCTTCAGCTCTGACTGGATGGTGGGGATTGGAAGGATTTATACTCCTTGAAGGCAGCTGATTATTTGCATTTTTTTGGAAAGTCATTGAGGCTACCTAGAGGCTTATCTGTGTCATCAGGGTCACCTGAATAGTAGTGCAAATGGATGTGGAGTCTTCTTGGAACTGCTGAAAGGTCTGTGTTGTAGACTGGAGATAAATGATGTCATATCCCTCTCCCTCTGTTGAGAGAGTGCTGTTCAATTTTGATATAGATGGCCTCTTTGACACCTCTTTCAAACAGTGGTCCTCTCTGTCCAAAATGTGCACTTTGCTGTCTTCGAAAGAGTGACCTTTGTCTTTTAAATGCAGATGGACTGCTGCATCTTGTCCTGAATCTTGTCCTTGTCAATGACTCTCTAAAAGAATGCAAATGACCAGCTGTCTGAAAGGAGTATAAATCCTTCCATTCCCCACCATCCAGTCAGAGCTGACGAAGCTTCTTGGATGAAAAGCGAAATGTCTTTCAAAGAGAAAAAAGAAAATCTAGTTACTTGTGAAAAAACACCTTTGGGACAACCATGATCTGGATGACTGACAATCTCCATAGACAGAGAATGTAAGAATTAACTACACTTAGTAGTATTAAAACATTTGCAGTGAAACATTCTTTTGCTATTGCTCACGACTTTAGAATTGGCTATAAGCTGAAAAAATTAATAGGGAAAAATTATATATTTAAAATAATTTAAAGGAAGAGTAGCTGAATTAAAATGTTAAGAAAAACAGAACAGAACACTTTAGTAATACTGTAGTTTGTAATATAATTTCAAGCTAAATTTGAAATTTTAATCAGACTCAGTTATAATAGCTACTATGAAGATTTTTTTTCTTAAACAGAAGGAGCGTTGGCTTACCTGAACGCCTTTTCTCAGCATGATGGTGAAGAATCCACCAATGGGTTATTTCAGTCCTCCTGCCCAATCAGACCAATTTGTCAAGTTGTCATGCCTCATTATCTGGGGCTTCTAGTTTCATCGAGGGATTAGCCAATGACAACAGGTCGACGTGATGACTCTCAAGCAGGCATTAAAAGAAAGTTAACCAACAAGTACCCCACCTGGATCTGACTGACATGTAATAGTGGAGGGTATGGATTCTTCATCATCGTGCTGGGAAAAGGTGTTCAGGTAAGCCAACGCTCCTTCTCCAGCATGATGACTGAAGAATCCACCAATGGGACATATCAAAGCCTCCGTAGTCCCTAAGGGTGGGAGTCAGTTGGGGCCGGACCCCCAGATGGTGGGACCACTTGTTGAAAAATATGCCTACCAAAAGCGGCCTCAGCCGACGCAAATTTATCTAAATGATAATGCTTAATGAATGGAGATGGCGAAGATCACGTCACCGCCCTGGGTAACCCATGCCGCAGTTGTAGTGGTACTGCGGGTGGAATGTGCCATCACATGAGGAGGAACTGGTAAGGCAAGAGAAACGTAAGTGGATGAGATACAAGCTCTAATCCACCTGCCTATGGTGGAAGCTGATGTCTTTTGACCCATTGTAGAAGGCTGGAACTACACAAATAGAGCTTCCAATTTACGGAAGGGTGCCGTGCACTTGATATAACAACGTAACACTCTCCTTACATCCAAGGTGTGCCAACGACGTTCCAATTCATGTGACAGGTGAGGGAAGAAATTTGGAAGGATGACCTCCTGTGCTCTATGGAAAAGCGTATTAATCTTAGGAATGAATGAAAGGTCTAGCCTGAGAACCACCCTGTCCTCATGAAACGTGCAGAGATCCTTCCTCACTGACAAGGCGGCCAATTCAGAAATGCGTCTGGCCGAGGTAATAGCAATCAGGAAGGAAACCTTGCGCGACAGGTGTCACAATGAGCACGTTTTGAGTGGTTCAAAGGGAGCTGAGGTCAGTGCCTGAAGGACTCGAGATAAGTCCCAAGAGGGATACCTATGAATTACGGGCGGTCTACTATTCGTGACCCCCTTAAGAAAGGCCGGGATAGCGGGATGCCATGATAAGGACTCTGAGGAGTCCCAAGAGAGTACTGAGGAAAGTGCTGCTAACTGTCTATTGGGCGCCAGGCCTTTGTTGATGCCCTCCATTAAATATTCTAGGACCCTGGGAATAGTCACCTGTGCTAGACTTACGTGCTTCTTGTCGCACCATCCACAGAAATTCTTCCACGTATGGTCATAAATGGTCATAAATTGTTGATGGTCTCCTGGCCGCCTGGATCATGTCGATCACCTCCGCCGAATAAGATTCCCTGGTTAGGGTGCAGCGCTCAAATGCCAGGCGGTCAGTTGCAGCCATTGGGGGTCTGGATGTGGAAGATCCCCCTGCATTAGCCGAATCTGGCTATCGGAAATCCGCCACGGGGCTGAGGATGAGAAACTCACCAGGTCCGCAAACCAAGGTCTCCTGGGCCAGTGAAGAGCGATGAAGATCAGTTCCTGGAATCAGAGGCAGTGGGGGAAAGGTGTACAACAGGCCCTGAGGCCATTTGCAGTGCAGCGCATCCGTCCCCTCTGCTCCCCAGGAGGGGAACCGAGAGAAAAACCTGGGTAGCTGAGCATTCTCCGGAGAGGCAAACAGGTCCACGATCAGACGATCAAACCTGTCCGATATCTGCCTGAAATTCTCTGGACGTAACATCCACTCCGAATGATCCGACCTGCTGAGGAAGTACGCCTGTCGATTTGCCTCTCCCGAGATGTGCGTGGCCCTGATGGAGAGCAGGTGTTTCTCTGCCCAGGAACTCAAAGCTCGAGCCTCTGTCATGAGGGACTTGGACCAGGTGCCCCCTTGCCTGTTCACGTGGGCTTTTGCGGCCATGTTGTCTGTTTTGACCAGCACATACTTTTCCCTGACTACTGTGTGGAACTTTAGAAGAGCGAGATGTATTGCTCTGAGCTCTAACCAGTTTATGCTGTGTTTGAGGTCTGTTTGTGACCACCGCCCTTGAGCTATCTGTGAGTCAAGATGAGCCCCCCAACCAAAGAGACTCGCGTCCATGATCACCTGAACCCGAGTGGGCTCCTTGAACAGGGTCCCCTTGTGAATGGCCGATGAAGTCCACCAGCCGAGTGATAAGCGTACCTGACGGGGAACCCGTACTAGCCTGTTGGATGTGCTGGTGTGTTGTCTCTGGTACGGGAGTAGGAACCACTGCAGGTCCCGGGCATGTAAGCGGGCCTATGGCACTATAGCTATGCAGGATATTAGCTTGCCTAGAAGTTGAGAAAGCATGGCCAATGACACAGTCCTGTGTCTGCTCACCTTGCGGGCCAGGTTCTTGATGCTCCTGCGCCTCTCCTCTGACAAGTACACGTGGCACGAGTCCGTGTCTATCACTGCTCCCAGATGAAGCAGGAGGGTGGAGGGAGTCATCTGGCTCTTGCTGAAATTTATCAGGAAGCCGTGGTTCTGCAGGGTTCTTATGGTGAGGGCCAAATCCGACTGGGCCGCTGAGACTGACAGGGACTGGATTAGAATGTCACTCAGATAACACTGGACCCTTACGGGAACCAGCCTTAAGTGAGCTGCCAACACTGCCAGGATTTTGGTAAAGACCCTGGGGGCTGAGGAGAGACTGAACGGAAGGGTTCTGTATTGATAATGATGGTTGAGGTATTGCAGGTATCTGCGATGATCCGGTAGTATAGGAATGTGTAGGTATGCTTCCTTTAGATCTATTGAGGTCAATAGATCTCCCTGCCTGATACTGGTTAAGATGGAATGTAACGTTTGTATTTTGAACCTCTTGTATTGAAGGTGGAGGTTCAGTCCCTTGAGATCGAGGATTGCCCTCTATCCCCCAGAAGACTTTGGGACTATGAACAGGATGGAATAGTACCCCAGTCCCGCCTGGTTTGGGGGAACTTCCTCTATCGCCTTGATGGTAAGTAGGTGTTGGATGGCGTCTTCCATGAGTCCCCTTTTTACATGATTTCTCATGGCTGGGCAAGACACGAAGCGGTCTAATGGTGTGGACTTGAACTCCAGGGACAATCCTTCTGTGGTCATGACCACAGGAGTCTGTGGTCATGTTTTCCCATTGGCGTATGAATAGAGCTAGTCTGCCGTCAATGGGAGGGCCTCTCTCTGAGTCATTTTCCTTGTCAGAAGAGTCGACCCCCTCTGTCACAAAAGGAATGTTTGGTTTGTGGCTGGTACCTGGTTCTGTCCCTATAACCTGTCCTGTCAAAGGAACGCTCAGCTCTGGGAGCTGGTGGTCCATAAGGTTGTGCAGGTTCCGTCGCGGCCCCCGTCCAAAAGGACTGCCGGTGACTGTATGGAACAAACCGTCTGGTAGTTCTCCTTGCTACATGCGAAATCACTTTTTGTTTCTGTTTGTTCTCAACAAGATATGGCGTTAGGGCCTCCCCAAATAATTTGCCGCCCGTGAAGGGGGCTGTGGACGTGCACCACTTATGTTTACTTTCAGCCCTCCAATTTTTCAGCCACAACAGCCTCCTAGCGACTACGCTGGAGGCCATTGCCCGGGATGAATGTTTGGCCGAATACAGGGAGACATCTGCCATATACTCGGATGTGGCTAGTAATTTGGTCAGATCCTGATGTATCCTGGTTTCTTCCAATGGAATTCTATCCTGCAACTGACGAAGCCAGGTAATAGAAATCCTTGCAAAGAAGGAAGTGGCTGTAGCTGCCTTAGTTGCCCAAGCAGATGCAAAATGGGCCTTGCACAAGGCCATTTCGGATTTCTTATCCTCTGCCTTAAGGGTGTCCGATACATCTGCTGGGAGGCTGGCGGTTGAAAATAACGGGGCCAGATATTTATCCACCTTTGGAACTTCTAATAAGTCCACTAAGGTCTTTGGCATGTCTACTATTTTGCGCTCCGCTGCGCCCTGAGTAGGTTGAGCAGCTGGTGACTCCCATTGTCCCTGAATATTTTTACGGAATAACGGGGGACAGGGGATTTGGGGGTGTTTGTCTACTGGCTCGGCAAACAGGGGATTAGATACCTGATCAGAGGAAGGTTGAGGGATTGAAACCGGGTGTGAGGAAAGCTTACTGGCTTTGCAGGCTCTGCGCAGTAATTCAGGAAAAAGGGAAGAATTAAACAGTTCTGACATAGATTGAGATTCGTAAGTAGATTCCTCACAATCTGACCAACCGTCCTTACTTTCCTCATAATCTGAAACCTCAGAGTCAGAAACATGAGAAAGGGATGGGGAAACCATACCTGACTGATCCAGGGAAGGACGTTTGGCGGTTGTTGGTGCAGAAGAAGAAGAAGGTCCCGAAATGGGAGACACCTTCTGGTGTCCTGTTGACGCCATGGCTTGGGACATGGCCTGCGTTATCCATGCTTTAAGCTGGTCGGAGAAAGGCTGCTCTAGTGGAGACTGTAAGGTGGTGCAGTATCAGCAGCGGATGCTGTCGACATACCTGGCAAATCAAGGTCCTCCCCAAACAGGGGTGGTCCTACCTGACCAAGGGTCTGAGTCGAAACCTGTTGATGCACGTTCTCCGGTGGCCAAACCCTGGATGTGGATGGTTGAGTCTTTCCCGTTTCAGGTGGTGTTGAGGCGGACAATGTAATACACCTCTCAGCAGCCAAATGTTGGGCTTGTGAGAATTACTTCTCCAGAGCTTTGTGTGTACGGTTGGCCTGTCTGTCGCTTGCCCTGCCAACTCTCCTGCCATATTTAGATTTGGATTTGGCCTTACCTGAAGATGCCTCAGGTGCTGGCTCAGCTTGGACGGGAATGATGTCTGCTTCCAGAGGAGTTGGCTCAGTGGTTTCTGCCATTTCCATCGAGATGCAACCCAAAGATAACTTTGAGACTGACTCGATCTGCAAGGGACGTCAGAGGCCCCCGTGAAGAGGAAACTGACTTCACGTGGATTGGTGTGAGTCGGCCCACTGGCTAACTCATGCCTGGTGTAGAAGCACTTGTCATTCCACAATGGTTGAGGTGAATCACACGTGTCCCACAATAGTGGTGATGGTCAGGAGCTTGGAACAGCCACTAGATGCAGAGGGGCAGACAGACAATGGGCGACAAGGCCTGAAGTACCGTTGCTGCTGTTGCTTCCACCTTTCTGTGTCCTCAATACTAAAATAAATTCTGAAACACCAAGGCTCAAGGCAAATTAGTAACAATGATAACAATGTGTAAACTTTGGTAAATTCTGTTAAACTCTATTAAGTGACTGCCACCAATAGTGTCCTGGCCAGGGTGAAATGGGTGTTTCCCTCAGGAAAAATGTCCCCAAAATGGCGGACGCTCTAAGTGATGAGGAAAAAGGGGGGGAGGGGGGGAAAGGTTGGAGTCTGAAGGTAGAGGAGGTTAATGGAGCCTCCTAAAACAGTCCAGGTGCTTCCAAAAAACCAATGGTTTAATCCGAGGCTTTACAGCAAATTCAAGGAACGGAGTTTGAAAATGCACCTAACAGCTGTTAGGCGCGAATAAACGCTTGTCGCGGCCCCACAAGGCAGCTCCACTTCAGCGTTAGCCACAAACAAGCCAAACAGCAAGGAAACACCAAGAAAGGATTTCCCCCCCATCGCTGTTCTAGCAAATCCGCAAAATCACTGAAATCAGTGAAAGAATTTTGTCGTCAAAAGAGGGTGTTCCGTGGATCCAAAATGGCGGCCGCTATTAAGATCCCTGACCGAACCTGGTCATAGAAGAAGAAGCCACGAAGCTTCAAAATGGCGGCCACCAGACGACAATCCCAAAAACACGAGCTAGTGAGGGAGATAAGGAAGGGATCCCCCTAAAGCGCCCCAAAGAGAAAACTCTACCTAGCTCTATCAGGAGTCCCTGTAATAGCTTAGCAAAAATGCTAAAATAGGAAAGGGAAAGAGCCCCCCCCCCCGTCCTGAAGAGGAGTCCTACTCAAACCCAGAAAGTAAGGAAATTAGAATCAGAATCCCCAGAAGGGAAAATAATCTCTACTAGTTCCCCAAATTTTGAGAATCCACCAATGAGTTTGTAAATCTAACCTGACCTGCTCCAAAGTACCGAGAATCAAGATATCATGTCCTCATGGGCGAAAGACCAAAATGAAACTGGAAGCCCCAGATAATGAGGAGGCGTGACAACTTGACAAATTGGTCTGATTGGGCAGGAGGACTGAAATAACCCATTGGTGGATTCTTCAGTCATCATGCTGGAGAACAATAATGATATTTCCTTGGTGGCTATAGTCATCTCTGTAATTTTTTTGTTATTGTTTTTGTTATTGTTAGTAATGCTCTTTTGTCATATTGATTTTCCTATTTTAATATCGGTTCAAATCTCACCGGCTCAAGGTTGACTCAGCCTTCCATCCTTCCGGGGTAGGTAAAATGAGGCCCCAGATTGTTGGGGGCAATGTAAATATATATATACATTGCTTACTGGTGTACACCGCTTAGAGAGTGCTTGCACTTAAAGCAGTATATAACTCTCATAAATAAATAAATAAATAAATAAATATAAGCTGGTCAAAGTCCTGATGCATTGAAGTGTCATGTAAACTCCAGGAAATAATAAGTGAAATATTAATGTTGTCATGTTTAGATGCAAAAGATACATTGGAGTTCATTCAAGGATGTGTAGGACTTGTGATATAGGTGAAGAATAGATAGACTTGGAATTTGTGTAGGTACTCTAATGATAAGTTACTATTGGAGATTGTAGAGACACAGAAAGATGAGTGAATCTCTATAGAATTGTTCATGGGCACATTGGTTGATTAATTATTGACTGATGGTTTACTGATTATACGCCATCGTCAATGTTGATTTGATTACATACAGATTTTGTGGAGACTCTGTCCCCAACCGCTGGCCCTTCAGTTATTCTAACAGTGTATTCAGTGACAATACATTGAGACTGCCTCTGTCCAAGCATATCAGCCTAAGGCAGTGATGGCGAACCTTTTAGAGATCGAGTGCCCAAACAGCAACCCAAAGCCCACTTATTTATCGCCGGGTGCCAGGTGAGTGTGGCCCACTGGGTGGGTGTGGCTGTGGTGGTCATGGCAAAATGGGTGGGTGTGGCCAAGGTGGGCATGGTCAACTTGATGTTGCTCGTGGGCAGGGATTCCTGTAGGGGCCGGACAGGATTGGGGGAGATCCAGGGAGTCTCTGGTGGGTGGGACAGTGGGAAGGAGGCTCATCCTGCAGTGTGAGGGGAGATGAAGTCAGGAGGGATGGGACGGGGTGGAGGGAAACCAGTCGTGCTGGGATGCATCTGGCCATGTGGGACTTCGGTGAGTTAGCGGGTGGCTGCTTGAAGAGGGATGGTTGCCATCTCCGGGGCATAGTGCGTGTGCCCACAGAGAGGGCTCTGAGTGCTGCCTCTGACATGCGTGCCCATAGGTTCGCTACCACTGGCCTAAGGTGTTAAAAGACATTTTGAAGCAATGAAAAAAAATGGGTCTATGATAAATATTGTATGATAGATCTAAGCCAATATTCTTCAAGCCTGGCAACTTTTAGATATGTAGACTTCAAGTCCCAAAATTCGTCAGCTAGCATGCAAATTAGAAAAACATTTACCTTTCGATAGTACAATGGAATGCTTAGGCATCAAAGCCGCTTCTGAACAGAGAAAACATTATGTAATTGTGGTGAACTAGGGAACAATTTATAAACAGTAGCTGTTTTGTTTATTATTTGTCATCCAGTCTATTAACTGCTCATACATTAGTTTGGAGCATCAACTATTTCACTTGTGTTAGTTGAAAAAGGAAGACAGGACTGACTGTAATTTGATATTGATGGCAACAGTGTATATTCTCAAATAGCCTCTTCAAGTGGTTTCATAGAAACATTTAAAAGCATTAGGGATAAAATAGAATCCCGATGAACCTGATAAGATAGCTAGCTGCCAAGGAGCAGTGAAGTAATTCCCCAGTATCAACTTCTGGAATCCG